ATGACGGTTTGTTGATTATGCATGACGCTACGTGATTTGTTGTGAATTTGTGAACCAATGTTAAATTAAATTAATCTTATTGGTGAATATTGTGGATTATGAATAATGTATGAGAAATAGGCCACCTAGTATAATTAGGTGGACCTGAATTGGATTGACTGATTTAATCACCAATAGGATATGGTTAGGAAATTGGCCATTGCGGGGCGTCGTCGCACCCCCGGTGGTCTTGGGTTAAAAACGTACGTACGGAAGTCCGCGACCTGTCCTGGCATCGCAGGGACAGGGGCTTCAACCCGCCCAAAGTGAATCTCCTTTGGGTTCCTGAGCTGGCCCTTTTATAGCATCGCTTGGGGTGCCATGACTCAAAGTAGTTATTGTGGAATAAAATAAGGACATGATGTTCAAATGAAAGGTGTTAATATAAATATGTTTATTTAAGCTATTTTTCTCCGTGATCACATGCTGTTGTTGATTGTATGTTAATGTGGTGCTATTCTGTGAGTTAATGCTGGCTTAGGTATATTTTCACTCAGCGTTTCGCTGAGCGTGTAGTCGTTGTTGTTTGACTGCACGCAGGTAGGAACACAGAATTTGATGGGAAACCCGGAGGGCAGTGAAGTGGTGGTGGCGCGGATGACTCTTGTTTACTTTAGTAATTAAACTACATTATTTTATTTGATTATATGGATTGTTGGACGTTACTTTGGTTCTTATGCTTCCGCAACTTTTGGACTTGTTTTATTACTCCGATAAACTTTGGTTTAGTTTTAAACTCTCATGGATGAATTTATAATTTATTCAGTTGGTTATTTTTTTAAAAAAAAATTATGCATGCGAATACCAATTTAGTAACAACCCGGTTCGCTAACCCGTAGGTTCGGGTTACGCGGGTTGGGGTGTTACAAAAACTTACAGTGCTTCAAGAACTCGAGAATTAACTTGGAATGATACAATTTAACCAACACAAATTTAGTACAATATTTCAGAGTAAAAAGGGGAATTTTCGCCCCTAAAAAGGGGAAAAACGAATTAGAAATTGCGTGGGAAAAGGTAGGAGCCGCGTCGGGTTTAAATAGGAGGAGGACCATCGACCGGCGGCCGCCGGCCAGCCCGCCTCCGCCGCTGTAGAACTCTCCAGAAATCGCCGGATTCCCTGGTCGCCGTCGACTGGCGGGCCCGCCGGCACTCTCCATCGCCGCCAGCTCCAATTCTCGTTGTCGCCGCCTCCCAACCGGCGGTCAGGCAGGCGGCCACCGGCCAGGTCGCCTGTCAGGCCGCCATCAATCGTCAATGCTACCTTGCTCAAAATTTTGTTCTGAACACTTTTTTTCTTCTGCACCGACTTCTAATTCCGCACCGTTTGTGAGATAGAATTATTTTTCTATTAAAAATTTACTCTTTTTACTCCATTCTTGGCCCAATTTTACATATTAATTCAAAGACATTCTTTTATGATCAATTTATCAAAACATATATTTTTGATGAAAAAGAATAAAGAATTTATTGTTTTGATAACAAAAGTGGTACAAGAACGAATTAAATATGAGTAAAAAGATTAGTACGAAACGGACTTATTTATTTCTTCACACTTAAACGTTGCTTGTCCTCAAGCAACTCATCATCTACCAACACAAGAATGAAGAAGATTGTTTGATTACAGTCTAAGATCCTTCTTCCTTGCAATAATCCGTTAATGACATTAGCATTAATTACTTCACACCTTTCCTTATATTCTAACGTGTACTAGATCGTCTTAGAGCGTCCCAAGTGTTCTTAAGGCGCCAGTTTGGAGATTATGTGTCTCTCAATTTTTTTAAAAAGAAGAATTATATTGTCTAGGCAGTCTAAAATAGTACACCATGGATATCCCCCTACAAAGTTTGGTTTTTGAAGATTTGGGCTATCCACTAGAGTCAGGGTTAACGAGGAAATAGATGAAAAAAATTAGGAGAGAAAATGAAATTTATTTTCCTAATATGCATTTGCACTTATAGAAAAAATGTAAACATTGCCCAAACATTTTATGGGTATAGTCTTTCCATAGTCGTAGACCTAACTTCAATGACATGCTTACCAAAATCATGCTCGAGAAACACTATAAATATTTAAGAATCGAAGAACAAATAAAACAAATATATAAATATATAGCTAGGTTGACACATTATAATATAGAGGAAATGAGTTCAATGGATACCTCAAAGCTTTATATTTCTTTCTTATGTTTGAGTTTCGTCATCCTTGCTTCACTTTCTCCTTCTGGTAAAACCTCACCTTACATTTTTTTTTTTAAAAAATAAAAGTATCTTCTTTTCCAAAGAGATATTTTTCACTACAATTTTTTTGCAACATAGAACTTTTTTTTTGTAATGTGTTGCAAAGATAACGTACCAAAAGTGAAGGACAAATACTCTCTTTTGTCTTTAAAAGATTGCCACAGTTTGATTTTTTTGGTCAAACTGTGGCACCCTTTGACCACGAATAAAATATAGTTTTAGATAATTAAATAGTACAAAAATTTGATATTTCAAAACAATATTTTAATATAATTCTAATTTTACTAAATTTACATTATAACTAAATATACTGTTTCCATAGTTCACGGCCAAAGGGAGTCACAATTTGACCAAAAAAGTCAAACTGTGACAACCTTTTAGGAACGGAGGGAGTTTTTTTTTTACAATTTTTTAAATGAACTGAATTAAAAATAATTTTGCACAAACATAAAAAACAACAACAATGAGCATCTTATAAACCACAATTGCTAACTCCAAACCCATCCCTAAAAATAATCTAAATGGAAATGAAAATAAAAAGAACATTTAAAAAATATTTTCATGAAATTATTTTTTTTAAAAAAAAACTCTGTTAAAAATGCAGGAGAAGCATCATTGACGTATGTGTACGAAGGGCCATGTTCAGATCCCAAGTTCAAAGACTGCAATGGGTATTGCATTGGCATTGGGTTTCCAGCTGGTGGAAAGTGCATGCAAGGCGCCCCAGGCGCAGTCCTCGCCTGCTATTGCATCATACCCAATTGATTATTGATTGTCATATTCTAGTCATTAACTTTCTAAGTATTATTATTATTATGTCAAAAGACATCATTGGGGGATGCTAATAATAAACTGAAGTTGCTTTGCATTTAGATTTGTTTACAAGATTCAAAGAAAATATTCCTAAAAAATGTCACAAAAGTCCACATATTAATGAATTGTGTTGAACCTTTAAATATCAGGGAAAACGAAAAACACATGCTGAATTGAAATATAATGAACCGTACGGTTAAAAAAAACCGAACAAAAAAAAACAAAATTGAATGTGAATACCCGAACCATAACAATTCAGTTTCAGTAATGGTTCGGTTCTCTAGAGTATTACTCTAGAGAACCCAACTGTCCCAACAAATAAACCAAATCAACATCTTTGTCGTCAATCTCAAGTGAAACATCAAACATGCATAAAAACCAAATGAAGCAAAAGCATAGAAAACAATGGAACAAATTTAGGGTGGAGAGAATATATTAGTTTAATTTTGGGAATGGATGTAAACCTAGGCGTGTCACATGACTATTTTAAAGTGTGTTTAACCTCGACCAAAGTTGGGAATAACAAAGAACAACATTGCATTTACCTGAAAAATGTAAGACATAGGAAGATCTAAATCAACAAATTTGGATTGACGCAAAACATGTACCTCATTCTCAAAAAAAAACATTTGAAAAAAAGGCTAACAAAATCGCAAACAGATAGCTGAAATGGCTTCTAACTTACTTGAAATATCCGGCCCGTAATTAATTCTCCGGGAAAAATCTTTGAAAAGGATGGGCCCCATCCCCGAGGGCTTCCTCAGAAATGGCCGGACGGTCACCTGAGAAGAGGTATATTGAGTTATAATTACACACTGGCTAGTTGCCTCACAACGCAGTTGCTAGGAAATGGAATTTGGGTTTACCCTCTTTGGCACCCCCTTGCTCAACCAGCTAAAAAATCTTTGAAGGTTTCAGAAATGGAGAAATTGAAGACCATGTCTATTTCAATAAAAGGGCATTGTGGATGAACAAGTTCGATACTCCCTCCGTCCTGCAAAAAAACTTCAATCTTTCTTTTTTCGTTTGTTCCAAACTAATCACAATTTATCTTTTTCCTTTTAAAGAAAAGAATGAATGGCTTACAACTCTACTGTTTCCTCTAAAGTCTAAATAAATCCTAACAAAAAGGTTTTCAGTTTTCAACACTTCTTTTAAACTCCGTGAACTACGATGTTTTTTTACGGGATGGAGGGACTATAATTGAAGGGCCTTGAAGATAGATAATAGAAGCACCACAAGAGATTGTGAGGTTGTGGAAACAATATCACCCCCTAAAATAAAACAAGGAGAAAAGTATTGAATAACCTAAAATGAACCTAGAAATGGAACATATTTTGGATGGCATAAGCTTAGGTAAGACAGTAAGAGTATGGAAGAAATATATATCGTATAGTGTACATACCACTGAGTTCATTAGTCATGTATGACCATCGTCTTCAAGTGTAAACCGCAATGCTTTTGCTCCTGCAAGCTGCCCTCATCAATTTTCTAATTGATTGTGGTGACACTGTTTCAATCATGAACATTTTAATTGATTAGTTGGTGATCATTAATGGCATTTTCAACATCAAATACAAATCGGTGTGGTTCAAGTGATGACACGTGTATGATGTCATAATATAACACCACGCCATTTGATGGCCCAACGGTGCTCCGCTGGACCCAAGACCGGGGATGGGTTCAAGACATTGTGCATGAGCCGTTCCGTATATAAAAATGATAGTTATGATAAGACAGGTAGGTTTGAGATACGGGCTTGTTCGATTTCTCAAAGCCAATTTCATTAATTCTTGAGAAATCTAAGAGTATAGATCCCCAAGAAAACTGCAATTTTGATTACTTGTAGAATCATGACTCAAACAATCCCACTAGACATTTCTATAATCAGCTTATGAAAAGCAGGTGGCACCATCAACATAGCCAGTCATTATAACAATCCACTGCCGTAGGGTGGCTCAAATAGTCCCACCAGATATTTTACAGCAGTATCTTTCTTAAACGGAGGAAGAGCGAAAGGAGTTAAATGGGATCTTCGAGCTCCGAAACCATTCGACCCTAATGAAATGTAAAAAATATCAAGAGGAGTCATATTTATTGCGAACCCAAAAGTTCGATGGAGAAATTGATGGAAACGAGTCGAGTGGCAAGATGACTGCCTCTAGTCCATCATTATGGCAAACGATTTCTTGAATTTGACTATCTGACCCACTGATATGTGAGATTGATAGCAAAGCAAAATATTCTGCTCCTAACCCCAACCATAACAATATTGCCATGGAAATTTGAGAACAAGACCCTATAATCCTAGCCGTCCTTTTTTTGCCAAGGCAATGGAACAAGCTCACTAAAGAGACCCCTCAAAAGAGTAGGCCAAAATGCACGCAAAGACCCCTATTAGAAGCAAAGCACACGCAAATGGTGGGTGTACTGATGGTGTCAAGAAAAGCAGTTCAAGAAAAGAACCTATATCTCTCATATTAGCATAATCAATAACAAGTTTATTGGTTCTCTTAGGATTGCTCTCAATAGCTTGAAAAAGCTTTCCAATTCTATCTTTCCACACCCTGTAATGCCCCGTTGCTGTGGTACAGACATAAACAGCCTACCCAGTCTTCGGCAGCATCGTTTCCAGCATTACATGCCATTGTGGCAGTCATCTTGGCTTCATAGATCATTGATGCATCATGCATCCCTAACTCTCTCCAAATACTGCTTCATTAAATGTCATAAACGGCGACACTATCTCACCTACACATACAGCTGAAGTGGCGATGTCAGTGTACCAAGGGCCTTCTTCAGATCCAAAGTTTGAAGATTGCAATCATTATTGCAACTAAATCCTTCTTGGCTATGATTTACAGCGGGTAACCTTCAGGTCACTGCCATATTCTTCTCCTTTTTTCCATGAAGTTACAACAATAACCCATATAAATCCCACGAAAGTAGGGTTTGGAGAGGGTGTGTGTACGCAGACCTTACCCCCCATCATAAAGTGGAGAGGCTATTTTTATGTGACGTTCTTGGACACAAACAGTGGTCATTCCTGCAACAGAAAAAAGTAAAAATAAAGTTGCTTAAAAGCATTTTAAAAAAAACTTTGACATTTCATCTATTTTCAATTCATATGAAGCAGAAACTAGGACAAAGTCATTATCTATGCTTCTTGCTGGTATAAGATATTATTTCTTTTAGGAGTGGCTAATATATGTGTGTGACCTTCATGAAATTGATCAACTTCATATTTTCCTTTGAAGGCCTCTTAAAAATAATTTTTGGTTTACATCCCTTCCTCGCATGTTTTCTTCTACTATTGTTATCAGACATTTTTCACCAACTAGCAATTCAGCTTGAACTAATCTCGTTTCACGTTTAAAACCTTCTTGCGCAGTGAATGTATTACCACGGACACATTGCTTTATCATTAGTTTTTTATTAAATTGCTAATACTAAAATTGACAGAGTGTGCATACCTTTTATAAAAGTCTCATCCATATTCAGACGAATTAAATAACATGCCAACTTTAGGCTTCAATTCATCTTCACATTCCGGGGATATGTCCCTCCAATGTGCTCATTGCATAACTTACGTTGCTTGATTGTGTAGCCAAATCAGATTCATTTTTATCAATCTCCATTGAAATGTACCTAAAAATAAAAATAATGAATTGAAAACATAAAAAAGATTACAAGATATAGATAATTTTTACAATGAAATATTGCCAATGCAGCTAAAAGAGTCATTTTTTGACAATGTTTTAGCTTCAGATAGGTAATGGACAAAATTAAGATTCCACATTAAACCGCCTTTGCTTCTTACTTTTTGTGAAGTTTTGGGGAGTAAATACAGTGTTGCATCAAGGGTCTAACGGAAACAGTTGCTTACATATTGACCCCCAGACTCCAACAGAGTTAGGATTATACTGGGTTGTTGTAAACAAATATTTAATTCAACTCTATCGCCTTGATTTCTTAAAAAATCAGTAAAAGAATATAAGAACAATAAAGAAAAAACAACATCATGTAGAAAAGAATAAAGACAAGTTTATATTTTAAAAAAAGGCAATAAAATTAGAAGCAAAAGCTGAGCTTGATAGTGAAGATAATGGAAGTTGTATATTAAGGCAAGATGCCAAGATGTGTAAAAAGAATTCGTTTCTTTTGAAAGAGGATAACAACTTAGACGTCATGTGACTATTTCCAAGCTATGATAATATAGGAACCATCTCAATTATCCCAAAGGCTAAAATTACATTTTTCACATAAACAAATCATTTCCACAAGTTACAAGATATGTTCCCTAAAATTAAATTTGAACTATAATTATTTAAATGTTAAAACAAAACCTGAGATGATTAAGAATGAATCATTCATCCTACTGCAGCAAATAGATTACAAAAATATCAAACCAAAACATCCAGATACTTTTGTATTGCATGGGAACCAATGATAAAAAAAATGTAAAATAAATATACAATTGACTTAGGCTTTAGAAAAGGCAAAGAAATCCTCATCTCAGCTTCGATCATGTAATCCTTTAGCACTCATTTCTGAGCAAATTATACCAGCTTCCACCAACTTTCCTTCTGCCTTGAGGCCAGAAATCAGCTCATCACAGATAGCGAATACTGGCAGAAAACCATGCTCAAACATTTCTCTGTACCAGATGTATGCTCCATTGAAATCTTTGAGTTTACAATGCCAACTAATCAATGTGTTATAAGTGTCAGAATTAGGAACAATTCCTCTAGCCTTCATGCTATCAAAAACGTTCCGTGCTTTTAGATTATCCCCAGTCATCAAATGGCCCATAATTAAGCTATTGTAGGTCATCTTGTCAGCAAGAATCCCTTGTTCTTCCATTTTATTGCTCAGGTCAATTGATTTTCCAACTTCTCCATGAAGTGCATAGCAACAAATTAGCTCATTATATACAGCTCTATCAGGAGACAGATTCATTATGGCCATTTCTTGCACAATTTTGTCTGCTAGCGTCCGTCCAGATTCTTCCTTTTTACATGCATTAATTAGTGGATGATATGTGTTTAAGGTAGGTTTAACACCAGCAGTTTTCATCTTTTCATACCATTCGAAACACTTGTCAGTGTCCCCTGCACGTGAGTAGCCAGAGATCAAAGAATTATATGTAATAACATCAGGCTTTAAACCTCTTTCTGGAATCATAAGCATTAATTCCTCGGCTTCTCTTGCCCTTCCCTTTCTACAGAACCCGTTTATTATTGAATTATATGTTACAATTGTGGGTGCAATGTCATTCCCAACCATCTTATCCAAAATCTGGAAAGCATCTTCCATTTTTCCACTGGTGCAACTACCATCTATAATCATATTATATACTTGAACATTCGGCTTTACCCCTCTACCAAGCATATCGTTCACTAGCACCTCAGCCTCAAGAAGCCTGTTGTGCTTGCACAAACAATTGATTAATGAACCATATGTTACTACATTGGGCTTCAGTCCACCGTTCTCCATTTCCACAAGAATCTCAAAGCACCGATCAAATTTATGACTACACCCATAACCGTTCATTAAGATGTTGTATGTCTGCACGGTTGGAAAAACTTGCTTCTCAGCCATCTTTTTAAACCACCCCTCCGCCTCTTCCATCTTCCCAGATTTACATGCCCTACCGATTAATGTGTTAAATGTGGCACAACTTGGCTTCAATCCAAAACTTTCCATTGCTTCAACAGTTGAGACTGCCTTCACCATATTGCCTTCCTTGCAATAGCCATTAAGAATTATGTTAAATATCACCTCTGTAGGGGTAAGTCTACTTTGTATCAACATGTTGAGAATCTGCTCGGCTTTTTCAATCTTCCCATTCTTGCACAACACATTCAACAAAATGCTGATAGTATACTCATTTATTTCAACTCCTTTCTTCACCAATTCTTCAAACAACGCCAAAGATGAATCGACATCACTGCACCTTGAGTGCCCGTCAAAGAGTACACTATATGTAAATCCATCAGGAACAAATCCGAAAGTCTTCATTTCCTCCAACACCTTGTTGGCTTCCTCCATTCTCCCCATCTTACAAAGCCCACTGAGCAAAGTGTTAAATGTGATCAGATTCGGCTTTAGGTTTGTATCCTTCAAAATTTCCCACATATTAAAAGCCTCTTCTAAATCCCCCAATTTACAGTACCCATCAATAAGAATGTTAAACGTGACCGTAGTAGGCGTCATTCTTCTCACGAGCATTTCATCAAACAGCTTCCGTGCTTCACCAACCCTTCTCTCTTTACAAAAGCCCCCCATGACCACATTGTAAACAAAGGAGTCCACACGAAACCTAGACTTTCTCATGAAATCCATCAAACTAAGTGCCCGTTTCAAGTCACCCATCTTCACGGCTGATTGTATAGCCACACCACAACTACAGCTATCGATCTGAATCTCTGCATTCACAGCGTCAGAAAACACTTCAAGAACCTTGGGGTACTGTCTCGATGAGTTCAGCATTCCCAGAAACGCATTGAGACCAGACAAGGAAGGGAACTTACCCTCTTTTTTCATCAACGCATACAGCTCGCTTGCTTTATCGAGAAGCTTGGAGTCGGCATAGATGGAGAAAAGCATGTCAGCAAAGATCGGCTTGCTGGATGAAGGCGAGGTGACACAGAAGACATTGTACAGTTCGGATACAGAGTTCGACTGGGAGAGGTGAATAAGAAAAGTCTTTGCGCTATCGGTCCGATTCTGTTGGAGGAGGATTCGGAGCTTCCGCAACTCTTCATGGAGCTTTTTGTTTGCAGAACCGCCGGCGGGGATGGGCGGGTCGGGTATGGCGCTAGGGGAGGGTTGCGCCAGAGAGCAGAGGAATTTACGGCTTGCGGCGGAGTGGCGGCTGAGGAATTTGCGCATTCGTTTAGCCATTCTTAGGAATTCGCAAGTCGCGACAGAGCATTTGAAAAAGAAAGAAACTTTTGAGAATTGGGAATTTGATATTCAATATTTGGTTCAAAGAATTTGACATGAAGATTAAAAAAATGAGAAGAAAAATATCTGTTTATTTAGACAAGAAAAGAAACGTGAAGAAAAAGAAAATTTAAAATTTAAAATATACCGGGAGGAAACACTAAATTTCTTATATTTTGATGAGAAAAATAAAGAAAATTTAAGTTAGGGCAAGCGTAAGGGTGGACCATAATGCCCTACCATCTCAAACTCATTTTTTCATGAACCCAATATTTTAACTTTTTAATATACATTGTAAATTTTTTTAATAATAATTTAAAAATTTATATGTCTAAGGCATAGTTTTCAGAACCAGACCGGTGATCGAATCGGTGAAGGTACTAGTTCACTGGTCAAATTAGTAGTTTAAACATATTTTAAAAAATTATATATATATATATATATATATATATATATATATATATATATCCACTTTGTATATAATAAAAATAAGGGGAATTTACCTAAATAGAACTAAAACATAATAACTTTTTCTAAATAGCATCACATGTGTTTATTTTCCTAAATTAGCACTTTTAGTCATTTCCTATTAGTCATTATTCAAGTAAATATTGAGTATCACTGGACATTATAGACATTACGAAGTGCTATTTAGGTAATAAAACAATTTAAATACTATTTAGAGAAATGACTTAAGTTTTAGTGCTATTTAGTACAAATATTTCTAAAAATAATACTCTTTTTGTCTAAACATAATTAGTTGAACGGGACAACTCGAGTCCTTGCCTGGTCAACAATAATTAAAACTAAAATGAATTTCATAGCATATTATATTGATATCTACAGAGTATATTTTTAGTAAATAATAATATTTAAATTTGTGTTCTTTCTCTTTTTCATGTAGTTTTCAATGTCATTATTCATATACTCTTTCACAATTTCTATATTTTATTACTATTAGTACATATTTCTTGATTTTATAGATGATAATCTTTGTCTAAATATAAATTATTCGTTAATATTTTAATATAAAATAGAATATTTATTTTTTTACTTTGAAATATTTTGAAAGTTTATATAATAACTGTAGTACACAAACATATTCTCTTTTTAAAATATTAGAAGATCTTTTTTTAAAATTCACACAACTCATATAAAAAGGACTATATTTAAGGAGTATTATTTTGCATGACTTTACTAACAAATGTTTAATAGCCTAGTTGCTTAGAGCATTGAAAAGTTGTGTGATGTTGTCTTGTGTTCAATTTCCCATCTCAATCAATATCAAACGCACCTCTCCTTCATTGAATTGGGAACCTTTGGAACATGCATGCCACCCGAATTTCATCATTAAAATAAGCTCATTCTATTTTATATTTTAATTCGATCTAAAATATTTTTCACTTATTCTATTTTTATTTTTCTAAGAATATCTAGTACAAAGTACCATAAAATGCTTCTCTTTTAAAAAAAAACCCTTTACCAGAGCAAAAAATTTCTCTTTTATTAATGCCCTTGAAAACAAAGCGAGCAAGTTAGCTCACAACGGTGGGAGTACATGTATTTGTAAAAAGGAAAAAAATTTAAATACACAATTATATTGGAATTTGGAAATTACAATTTGTGTTGCATGCAAGCTACATAAATTTAAGGTAGAAAAAAAAAGTTGAAGAGAGATTATATTCAAATTTAAGGAATGCATATAAGTGACGTTAACCAACTCCGATCTAAGAGCTACTCTTGATTCAATCTGTCAACAATAATAATGTAATATCACATTTGTTAAACGGATGTGGAAAAAAATTAAGAAAAATTATACCTAATTTAAACATCCATCTTAACAAAATTAATTTTTATTTCAAGGGAAAAAAAGACAACGTAACCAAGGGTTCTCATTGAGCCTTAAGGCATGAAAATTGGGATAAAGAACAATGAACCATGTGAGGGTTGAAAGTATTTAGAAGAGAGGCATGTTTGTGTTGAAAAAGAAATAAATAAATGTGTTTGTGTTGCTTTTTAACTTTTCTATTCTTTTTTATTAGTTATTTGTTATTAGGTTTTTGGTAAATTTTGGTTCTTAAGAAAAATTCTCATGTCTTTTATTGAAGTTACTTTCCATTAACTTAATTTGAATAACCATATAATGTTCATAAAAAAAAAATTGACATCTTTAAAACATAAAAAAATCTTTGGAAAAATGTGGTGTAACTTTTTGTAATGTTCAATATCAGATAACATCACAAAAATTATTTTATAAATAAATATAAGAAATCACCCAAATAAAAGTATAAAATAACTCTTATTCTTAAAATAAGAGTTCTATGTTTTTATTTTTAAAATAGGAGTTTGCTCTGTGATATTGTGGCACTGTGTATTGGTAATTCATAATTTTTTTGGTATTATATTCTGACACTATTGACATTATAACTCATATTTTGGAGATAAAAACTATAGAACTACTTTTTTGGAATTTTGTTCATGTTTTACTCTATTTTGGTATTTTTCAATTAAATATTGTTGGGTAATTAAATTCAATGACATGATTTTGATTTTATTAATAGTTACGGGGCATTTTTATCATTGATGTCGCATTCTCCAGGAGAGAAATATTGTCAACGCATTTCTTTTTTAGATTACAAAAATCAATGTCACAATTTATTCTACTAGTATTTTTACCCGTGCCACGCACGGGGTCGAACGAAATTTTAGTTGATTTTGAAAAAATTTTAATATGAATTTTTTTTGGAATAAAGAAAATATATTTCTTACGTTATTTTTAATGTTATAGACAAAAAAGCCAAAGTATAATAAATAATATTTGAGGAATTGAATGTGTAGTTAATAAAGTTTATCTTAATACCAAATTTTCTAAAAGACTTCTGGGTATACAACATTTTTGGTATGGTTGCAAGGGGTTTTCATTTTTATCTAGAACTAATATTTTTAATCTTGTCTTTGTTTCCAGTCGTGAAACAACAACATAAAACTGATCATGAGTGAACAATGACTTGGTTAAAAAAAGAATAATTTTTCATAGTCTCCAAAAGGTTTGGATAAAAAAAAGTCTATAATACTCTTGAGTCGATGATTTATATCTAAAAGAAAGAATTCGGCCAGAATTTCAATGTGATTTGTTCCATCAATCACTTGTCTAAACTTTCCATCTCTGACTTTGATTATCTAATCAAAAAACGTTTGTGTGCCCTTATTTGCGCAAGAGAACGTAGTTGAATGCAATCTCATATTCTTCGTCAACGTATAAACTTTACAATACGACTACAATTTTGAAAAATTGATGGTAGCACATACAATTTTCTTTATCGAAGCTTTGGGTAAAACAGGAAGAACTTCCCAAAAATCACATCCTAATACAACTGTTTTCTCTCCGAATGGTTCATTTCTAGAGTTTTTATTAAAGAACCTCATTATATCTTTCATTGTGCAATCCAATGCCTCATTGTTCTAGAGTTGCACCATTAGAATACATAAAAATATCCTCTTTCGACTCTCACAACTTCCATTATTTTGTTGTATATCTTCTACTAATCTTCATTTATCATAGATAAGTATCCCATAAGATTAGATGATAACTTTGCTTTATCATACCTGAACTCATCTATCATAAAATTATTTTGAAATAATCTATTAAGTCGACTGTCATCTAGAAATGACATCCCATTGAATTCCCTTAAAAACCATATATTTGAATTATGGAACTTTTTAATCTTTATCAGACATAAATTTTTTAGGTCATCTCGAGAAATTATAAGCTCTGAACAAAGATTAGAAAAAATGTGACTTTATTAGTACTACATAGTACTTAATTACATTGCTTAGTTTCAACATAATGCAATAAATATGAATTAGTATGTTAAAAACCCATTTTTCTATTGAAATACCTTGATTATGTAATATTCTTTTTCGATCAAATAAAATTTCATCCACCAGAAGTTCTCATGATTTTTCCCAAACAATTTGGGGGCAACTCTTGGTATTTGTCTTTAATAATTTGACGAACAACTTTCTTGGGTGATTCCAAGATCCTAACTCAACGACCTCTTTTATACCTTCAATAAATTTTTATCATCAGCTATTAACCTCAATGCATCGTATGCTTCCTCGAATGAGTTATAAAGAACATTGTTAAATATCTTCAAGCTCTCATAACTTGTACATCCTTGCTGCACAGTTAATAGTATTCTCAAGTAGTATGATTCAACGGTTCCTGTTGGCACATATTGTAGTCGGCCTATTGATAATCTTTGTTACATCGGGAACCAATTCTGCTCCTTGTTATTTTACACAAAATATCCTAGAAATTCTGCATACGTCAATTTTTGTCCCGCATTGTACTCGTATTGGCAATCATTCAAGCTTTAAAAATCAAAGGTTCGTGTGTATTTTATTCGGCAACATCTTTTACTATTTGTTGGTCTTTAAAAGTGACAAATTCTAGCCTTGGGAGATGGAAATTCAACCACAATGCTGCTGGCCACCTGCGAGGTACATCAAAAGAGATGATTCTCCAAGACACTTCACACGCGGATACGTAACGACAATCATAGTAATTCTTTGTTTCATCATACACCTCATTATCAATAGTGTGAGAGCTAGACTGGGTAACTTCAATAGTTACTCAATCTTGACCTTTATTGACGTACTTAAAGAGATATTTGATTGAATTAGATCTGTTGTGACATTCAATGTCGATGTGATCTTGATACTTCATCAAGAGTTGTGGGTTGTATGACACAACAAACCATAATGAGAAATCTTTTCTCATTATGGTGATTCTCATGTTTCTTCTTCTGTATATCAGGTGATCAATCTCATCAAATGATGTCTTGTAAACAATTTTTTTCAGGGAATATTAGGCAACTCCATGCATATTACACGATCAATTGACTCGTGTAGCCATATTAAGATACGTGCATGAGAAAATCCTTTCTTTTGAAATTTAATAATGTACAAACCTGCACACAATTAGTACAGTCAAATGATGATACTTTAAATATGAATGTCTACATTTCCTTATTGTCATATATTTTGCAATGATTGGCCATTAGGGATTGCATGTCATAGCAATGAGCAAATCTTGATAACCAAATCTTCTACAAATGCTCATTGCTTCTTGACAGTTGGTAAACATACATCTCATTTCCCTAGTGAACGGAAGTTAGGATTGACTCTCACGTAGTACCTAAGGTAGACAAGTTCCGATATCTTGGCTCGGTAATCCAGGCGGATGGGGAGTTAGACGGGGATGTTGGACATCGTGTTGGAGTGGCTTGGGCCAAATGGCGGTTGGCCTCAAGGGTGTTGTGTGACCCGAAGATTTCTCCCAGGATGAAAGGTAAGTTCTACCGATCCGTAGTCAGACCTGCTATGTTATACGGGGCAGAATGTTGGGCGGTTAAGAAGAATCATGTGCGTCGTTTGCATGCGGCGGAGATGCGGATGTTAAGATGGATGTGTGGGAAGACAAGGTTGGATAAGATTTCGAACGAAGTTATCCGACGTCAGGTAAGCATGGCGCCGGTGGAGGATAAGTTGCGGGAAGCGAGGTTGAGATGGTTTGGGCATGTGAGACGGCGGGATGTTGATGCTCCTGTGCGGAGGTGCGAGAGGATCACGGTTATCGGGGGAAGTAGGGGAAGGGGTAGACCTAGGAGGAATTGGAAGGAGGTGATTAGGCAGGATTTAGGACTTCTCACCCTGACTGAGGATATGGCCTTAGATAGGAACCTTTGGAGGACTAGGATTAGAGTAGCTGGTTAGGAGCTCGGTGCTGTAGAGGTTTTTGTAGTGTGTTGTGTTTGTTTGGTATCTTCTACTTGTGTTGTGTTTGCTAAACTTTTCATTTCATTGTACTTGGTGCTTTATCCTGTTATATCCTGTTATATCTTGTTATCATGTTATATTGTGTTCTCTACCATACTTTTTGTGCAGGTTGAGCCGGGGGTCTCTTGGAAACAACCTCCCTACTTTCAAATAGGGGCAAGGTCTGCGTACACACACCCTCCCCAGACCCTACTGTAGTGGGATTCAACTGGGTTGTTGTTGTATGTAGATGGTAGAATAAGTCGTTGGCCAATGGCTGCCAATTCAGTTTCACCTCTAATCACAGATTCTTTTATGTCTCTCATAATTGCTCAACTAACTTGATCTTGGTTGAACTGCACTAACTGGATTCTTTGAACTTCAAACATCGTGTATGCATCAATCAAAAACTGTAAATACAATCTTTGTGCAAGCAATAAAATACCACCAACATTTTATCTTTCTTGTATTCAAAATGCAATACATTTTCTCACTGAGACCTTCGGACACTTTACATTTTTCGCTCAAAAAATAATTTCCTTAAAAGAAATTTTTCTTGATATCCATCCTACTTAAATGGAAACAACAAAAAATATTGCACATGTATGAAAGCAATGTGTGTCTAGCATTATCTTTAAGCCCATAAATATTAAATATTTTTATATGTTTTATCCATTAATAACTTATTATAATTTCTAAATTCAAAGTATTTTCAATAAATAAAGCATGTACGATTTAAGAATATAACTCTTGCTAATTTTTAACCAAAAATAAAACAATTAATATTTATGAATAGTATTTTATAGTAATTACATTTATAATAGTTAATATTATACCACAAGTTATTTGATTACGAACACCAGTTAATAATTAAGTTACTACACATTAATAAAAGTGTGTTATTTATTCATTATAATTTTTTTCCTTTTAATAAATGTAATATACATTTTTCTAAAAAAATATATTTAAATATCAACTTTATATTATTTCATTTTTAAGAAAACAGTATTTGATTGTCATTTATTTATGTCTTTCAAATAAGGAAATAAGAGAACTACAATAAGGAAAGTTCTAGTCAATGTTTGATGGCTGAAATGGCTGCTAATATGTAAAAAAAATATCCATTAAGCATGACACATTTCACAACTCTAAAAGCCAACTTTCAAATTGAATATATAAAGATAAAGATTTTAAAAAAATCATCGTGAAACTTCATATATAAGGCATATACTATATATTTTGATTAAAATTGCCACATCATTCAAGTTATCAATAGGTGGCGAATGATTTCTTAATATGTTGCCAAGTGGACTCACCACATGTAGCAATTCTGAGAGTTCAACTCTCAAATTTTATATACTAGTATTTGAACTCATGCCATACACGGGTAGAACAAATTTTTTTGTCGATTCTAAATAAAATTTAAAACAATATTTTTTCAAGAATAAAGAAAATATACTTCTCGCATGACATTTAATATCATAGAAAAAAACTAAAGTGGAATAAATAATATTTGAGGGATTGATTGTGTACAACACACAAAAAATTAATACCAAATTTTCTGAAAGACTTCAGGGTATACAAAAGATATGTTCAGTGTTCTTGTTATTATTTAAAAAAAACTAAAAATAAATTTTAAATTTTACCATTTTCTTTTTGTTAAGGAAAATAATTTGAGTATCATTTCTTTTTTTAAATAAATTTCAACCACATGTTTTTTTAAATTTTTTTCATTAATTTATTAAGTTATTTTTTTAATTTTTGGAAAAGTCAAATTATTATTCGGTTTTTTTCTTTTTTAATATAAATAAGGTATGTGTTATACTAAAAAAAAGCATTATTTTTCCATTCATATTTTTGTTGCATTTTAATATACATAGAATACATTTCTATTTTCAAAAGGATTTTGAAATATCAAATTTATATTATTCAATTTTATTTTTAAAGAAAATAGTGTTTGAGTATGATATATTTTTTGGTTTCAAATAAACATCAGAGTATTTTTTTACATCAATATTATGGTCGTTTATTTTTTTGGTGAATTCAAGTTGCTAGTAGGTTTGTCAATAGTGTAGAAGTATTTGAAAAATAATGTTAACCTCAAAGATGTTAAAATTTGAGGTGTGCATGAATACTTTTTATCATCTGTTTTCTTTTTAATAAAAATAAGCCATGTGCTATGTAATAAACATTGCATTGGGGATCGTATATAATTTTTTTGCCTTTTAACCTTCGTGGTATAAATATGTATATTAAAATTATTTAACCTTTTTATCAATTAATATCTTAAAGGTCATCAATTTAATCGGCATGAATTTCTTACTCTGTGTATAATATTCTTTAAATTTTACTCAGTTATTACGTGGCGTTGACATATTAAAGTTTTGCCAAATAGACATGCCAAATGTCGAATTGCTATAAATCGGAGTCTCCTTTATTATAGGAAAGGATTATTTAGTTTAAATAATTTCCAATAAGGAAATAAAATATAAAAGTTTTTAAACGCGATTATGCTAAGAAATCTGTGTTTAACAAATACGAAATTCAATTTCCATAAAATAAGTGTTTTTGTTAACTAATTCTTTAAATATTACTTGCTGACATGGAATGCTGACATGTCAAAAACGTTGACTAATAAGCGTGCCACATGTCAGAATCCTAGAAGTCCAACTCTCAGATTTTATATATAAAGATTTAATTTAGTCGTATTAATCTATCCCTTCTTGGAATAAATTTGTTTGTTTTGATTTTTTTAATATGAGTTCCTTGTTTAAATACTACGTATCAAAATATATTATTAAATTTTAATATTTTCCAATAATGAAATAAAATATAAAAGTTTTTAAACGCGATTATGCTGAGAAATCTGTGTTTAACAAATACAAAACTCAATTTCCATAAAATAAGTGTTTTTGTTAACTAATTCTTTAAATATTACTTGCTGATATGACATGTTGACATGTCAAAAAAGTTGTCTTATAAGCGTGCCAATGTCACAATTCTAGAAGCCCAACTCTCAAATTTTATATATAAAGAATATTATGGTCGTTTATTTTATTGGTGAATTCAAGTTGCTAGTAGGTTTGTCAATAGTGTAGAAGTATTTGAAAAATAATGTTAACCTCAAAGATGTTAAAATTTGAGGTGTGCATGAATACTTTTTATCATTTGTTTTTTTTAATAAAAATAAGCCATGTGCTATGGAATAAACATTGCATTGGGGATCGTATATAATTTTTTTGCCTTTTAACCTTCGTCGTATAAACATGTATATGAAAATTATTTAAACCTTTTTATCAATTAATATCTTAAAGGTCATCAATTTAATCGGCATGAATTTCTTACTCTGTGTATAATATTCTTTAAATTTTACTCAGTTATTACGTGGCGTTGACATGTTAAAGTTTTGCCAAGTAGACATGCCAAATGTCGAATTGCTGTAAATCGGAGTCTCCTTTATTATAGGAAAGGATTATTTAGTTTAAATAATTTCCAATAAGGAAATAAAATATAAAAGTTTTTAAACGCGATTATGCTAATAAATCTGTGTTTAACAAATACGAAATTCAATTTCCATAAAATAAGTGTTTTTGTTAACTAATTCTTTAAATATTACTTGCTGACATGACATGCTGACATGTCAAAAAAGTAGACTAATAAGCGTGCCACATGTCACAATCCTAGACGCCCAACTCTCAAATTTTATATATAAAGATATATAAAAATTAATTTTTTATGGAATTTTATATATTTAAATTTTATTTTTATTTTTAAATCAGTATTCGAATTAAGCAAATTATTAATAACTTTGATCAAAATACTATAAACCATGAACTGAAATTTATTTGATGATAAGAAAGTATGTTTAAAAAAAAGCAATCAAAAGATTAAAGAAAAGTAATTAAAAACATTAAGAGTTGAAAAAATAGTGAATGAAGAAAAACATGGTGAAATGAGTAAGGTCCAAGGATATAATTGTCACTTTAGTTGGCTTGGAAAAAAGGTGGAGTGCCATTAGTCATTGCTAGCTTAGAGTGCAAATATCAATCGTCTTAGTAGAATGCTTAGACATAAAATGAAGAGTGGTTTTGTTGAACCTTACAATGCTGGAAGGACTCATATGATTAGTCGTCTTGCTTATGAAGATGATTCAATCATTTTTTTTAAATGAGAGCACCTTAAGATTTTAAGAATCAAGGTATTAATGAAGGCCTATTTGACAACTTCAATAGAAGTGAATATTCAAAAAAGCAAGTTATATACGAACGGTAGAATCACTAAAAGATCTATAGAGTGTAAAGAGAAAGTCTTGGATATGATAATTTTCCTTTCACGTACCTGCGTGCTACAATGTGTAGAGGTAAACTAAAGCAAATTTTTTGTACTCCCTTCATCTCCCTAAGATCTTCTCGTTTTGACTTTTTGTGGTTTTTAAGGAGAGTTGAAAAAAGGTGGAAGTTTACCATAATACCCTCAATGAAAATGGGTGGAGTGTATTAAATGAGGTGGGTGAGGTGTGTTAGACAAGGCGTGCAACTCTAGAGGAGGGTGAATAGAGAGTTGTTGAGAATGATTACCAATTTTTGCAGGATTAATAATATAATCGTAAGTGCAGCGGAAATAAAAGAGAGAAGGCAAAGAACACACCGATGTATACTGGTTCACCACCTCGTGGCTAGTCCAGTTCCCCGAGAGACTCTCTCGAAGCTACCACTACTTCCGTTAAGCTTACGGGTGCTTAACAAACCGTTTACAACTCGAGAACTTGAATCCCACAAGCCTCGACACAACCGCTCGTAGATATGCCCTCTACAAGACTTCACAACCAAGACTTAAGTCATATAAGTCTTGAACAACAAGAAGAAAAATCTTCTTCAACCTCTCAACAATAGCTCTCAAAAGAGTAGAAATGAGAAATGATTAAAGCTCTATGGATGACAAGAACACTCTCTTGAAAACACTTGGTTTTCTCTCAAAATATATCAATTTGAGGAAGAAATGAATGGAGGATTATAACCTCAAGATTGGGGGAGTTTAGGAGTGCTTGTTCATAGTAAAGATGACCAAGGAAGTGTGTTTAAATAGGAGGTGAAGGAATATATCCGTTGGTCCAAGAAAACAAGCTGTGCAGAAAAGATGCAGCAAAATAATCGATTAATGCATCACCATAATCGATTAATGCATCATAAAAATCGATTAATGCAAGTAAAAAAATCGATTAATTTCACCAGAGCTAAAGTCCTTCTGCGCAAAAAAGTGATAATCGATTAAAGCCAAAGGTGTTAATCGATTAGTTCCTTCTGGACGCGATAATCGATTAATTCCAGAGGTAAAATCGATTATTGCAACAATAATGCCCAGACACGAAGAACACAAGCATGTGGGCGAGGTGAAGGACAAAATGGAGTTTATGTGATTGTTTCCAACAAGAATATCAGGGGTAAGGCTCCCCATCACCTCAAACATAATTCAAAAATAAATTTTGAACAAATGAAGGATATTTGGAGTGTAGAAATTGAGTCCCAAAAATATTTTGTGTGTCTAACGAAATGCACGAAAAATATTTGAATAAAATAATTTTGCTTACTAAAAATATTTTATAATATCAAAATAAATATTTTGATAAATGTTTGACACACTTTTTGTAACTGACTCAATAAATCTATTTTGAACAGTTAAAAAGATTTTTCAATTGACTCCAAAAATAAATATAATTTTTATTTTAACTCTCATAAAAATAATTTTAGAGAGAAGATATTTTTGTCATCCTTACAATTATTCCTACGACTCAAATAAATAAAAAGTCTTCGGAAATCTTCCACTCCTCCGAGTCCTCCGTTAGGCGCACGAACGCGACTCGAACTCTAATAAAATCCTGTGCACCTTCTTGAATACTTCAAGGAATGGTACCTCAAGTTTTCGTGTTTGTCGTTGTAGCACTTTGATCTTGACTTGAATAAGTTGTGTTTGTCAATTATCAGAACCTGTGAGTCAACACTTAACAACACAGATAGGGTTGAACTCATGCATTCCAACAAGGTGTAATAAATAAAGTAAGTGAGGGTAGTTGTGGTATTTTAAAGGTTAAAAAAATAATGAGAAGATCTATGGTGGATAAATAAAAATGGCTAATGAGAAGATCTATGAGGGACGGAGGGAGTAATAAACTTCTAACATATTTCGATAAATACCTAAAGACTTTGGGCATGTTTGGGAATAGCGTTAGAGATTAGCGTTAACGTTTTTGATAGAATTTTAACGGTGCAGATTACTTTGAAAATGCTAACGCTAAACACTGCCCGTAGATAACCTTTTCAATACACTAACGCTAATCGCTAAAGCTATTCCCAAACAGGCCCTTTGTATAATAAGGCAATAAATCAAATTAAAAGATTGATTCCAACTTCTTCCCATGTTTGAGTGGTAGCAAGCTTATTTACTGTGGGCCGCCATGTGGGGTTTGGGCCACCCATCCTTTGGATTGTTGCTTAAACAATAAACAGGCTCGAACTCCTCTAAGAGAAAGAGGTAGTGATTAATTAAACTTTGCCTTCTTAAATGTTTTGACCTTTGAATATCAATTAATCCTCCGTAATAACGAGAAGTGGAACCAAGGAGGGCTCGCCAGTAGCTGCAAAAGAACTCTGCGAGGCAGTGCGGCGGCTCAGACACACAACCGCCGCGAACCTCGGGATGAATTTCTTCGACGATTCGTTCGAGCTTAAGGAGATACAGAGGCTCGAAGGCCACAGCGACAGGGTCTGGAGCGTCAGTTGGAAGCCGGCCACCGGTACCGGCGGCGTGCCAGCAGTGCTCGCCTCCTGTAGCGGCGACAAAACCGTTCGTATTTGGGAACAGACTTCCCCATCTGGCTCTTTCCATTGCAAGGTTTGGAATTTTGTTTGATAATCGGACTTGCTAATAGGTCTTTTGAATTATTCCTCTTTGCGTTATACTACTTGTTCTTCCAAGTTTATTCATGGAGCTAATGAAGCTTGTAATAGCAATTTCAACTGTTTGAGAAGTTTGGGTCAAGTACGAATGCCTTTTTTAGCGATAAGGGGATGGTGATGAGTTGATAATGGATTTTTTTACTTCTTCCATTCCAAAATAGTGGTCTCATTACTATTTTGTTCTCCTGATAGATTTTGTTTATTTGTGTGTTTTAATTAATTAATTATTTTCTAAAATAAAATATTCTTATCATTACAGAAGGGAGTATGTAATTTGTAGTTTTTATTTTTATACCAATTTCTAAATAAAATATTTTTAAAAGATATACTCCCTCCGTACCCGAGTGTTTGTCCACATTTGACTTTTTTCGGTCAAAATTAATAAACTTTGGCTACGAATTAAATATAAATGAAGATATTGATATAATTTTATTACATTTGTTTTATAAAGTATTTTCAAAATATTATATTATCGAGTTAATATGCTATATATATTTAATTTAATTAAAGGTCGAAGGTTGAAAACAGTTGACTGCAAAAGGTCAAAACTGAACAAATACTCAAGGACGCAAGTAGTAAGATTTTGCACGTTGTTCGAAGAGGGACAATTATTTTAGAACCGGGGGAGTAGGATTTATCATTCATGTGACCTCAGAGATTCTCAGAGGTCTTTTATCCTCTGGGTCCTTGGTATCATTAACACTATGTTTGGTTCAAAAGAATTAAAAGGGAAAAGAAAATGTGAGAAGAAATACACTAAGAATAACCTCTGCTTTGGTGAGGAAAAGGAGAGAACACATATTTCTCTTCTTTTCCTTTCGAATTCCACAAACCAAACATAGTGTTAAGTGAAATAGATGTATTTACTCAGCAGTTTTTGATATTTAGTTTGTTAAATTATATTCATGCAGTCAGTTCTAGATGAAACCCATACTAGAACCGTTAGATCCTGCGCATGGTCACCAACTGGTAAATTGCTTGCAACTGCAAGTTTTGATGGAACTGTTGCTATATGGGAAGAAAATGGAGATGATTTTGAGTTTGTCAACACTTTAGAGGTACTCTATATTTCTTAGTACTAGTAGAAATTGTTGTATTCTTGACAACCCCCCTCCCCCCCCCATTTTATTACCATGAAAGTATTTCCCAAATAGGGGAATCAAGGAAGATAGAAACAAAGCATTTATCAGTTTTTTCACAACCTGGTTTTGTTCCAGTTTTTACTAAGTACTACTTTCATGTTTACATTTCATGGCCCGTTTTGTTAGATAGACTCGTCCTTCTGGAAACCATATTTACTTTCTCTGTTTCTCAATTTAAACTCCCTCCCAAATGTATATTACCTTACGGGCCAGAGGGAGTGTCATATAGTACTCATGCTGCATTTTCAGTTTCTTCTTAAATGGTCTAGATTTTTTAGTCATTCAGATCGATATTTCCATGTATCTTGTACATGCAACAAATTCTAAGCATTTCTTTCCCTCCTTTTTCTTCACCCCTTGAACATTCTTCAAGTTTCCTCATTTTAATCTGTACTGGCATGTTGACTTACATTAGGGTCATGAAAATGAAGTCAAAAGTGTCTCGTGGAATGCATCAGACACTTTGCTTGCAACTTGTGGACGAGACAAATCAGTTTGGATATGGGAAGTTATGCCTGGCAATGAATATGAATGTGCTTCTGTGCTGCAAGGCCATACACAAGATGTTAAAATGGTCCGATGGCATCCTTCTGTGGATATTCTTTTTTCATGCAGTTATGATAATACTATCAAGGTAAATGTAACATTTAAAACACATTTGACTCTCAAAATATGAACTCAAGCCTAATTTCTGAATTACAAACCATACTTGAATTACAAACTATTTGGTTCAACTCGGGTGGTTTACCGCCCTACCTGTTGCCTATGTAATTCTCAAAATTCATTTCTTCAAAAGTTGCCATTGCTTTTGGATCAAATGACAGGTTTGGGCAGATGAAGGTGATAGTGATGATTGGCATTGCATTCAAACATTAACTGAATCTAACAGGTGACAACTTAACTTCTCTACTGCTGACTTGTGCTCAGACCCTACTCTCGTGGGATTCAACTGGGTTGTTGTTGTTGTTGTTGTTGTTGTGCTGACTTGATACAATTGTTTGTTAAATAAACTGTATGTTGCACATTGTTATTGATATGTTTTTGAAAATTTGTTTTGTATTAACATGCCACTTTCAAACGCATAATACCAGCAATGCTGCATAAGATTTTTCAAAGCTGACTCAGCCTTGTTCTCGTTACAGCGGGCATACATCAACAGTTTGGGCTCTATCTTTTAATGCCTGTGGAGATCAAGTGGTTACTTGTAGGTAGTAATCATACTTCCACTATCATCTTCTCTTATCATCACCACCACCACCACACCATCCTTTTAAATCCCATAGCCATGAGCTGCTTTTGATACATTGTTGGATTATTGACATAGCTAGAAGTGACATTGTGCTGTTCAAATTAATTTACAGTGATGATCTTTCCCTAAAGATATGGGGTGCTGACATAGAAAGAATGCAGTGTGGTGATGTAACTGTGCCTTGGTAAGTGCATTTATAGTACACATTATTTGTATTTATCTTTAAATGCATGCGTACTTGTAAATTACCAATATTACATACTCTATAGTTTTGATTTAGTCCATTATTTACTCGAAGCTAAAGCACTAAAAAATGCCAAATGATATTATAAAACTAATTGACACTTCAAATTCATGGGAAAAGTATAGTTTTAGGCTGGATGCCTTTGTCTTGCAAAGTTGCTTTAACTTGCATCAGTTAACAAAGCTTTCTCCAAACTTTTATGGTTTATGAGATTGCAGATAAGTTTATGCACTCATTAAGTGTCTTTTAACTTTTAAGTACATAAAAAGGAATCACCATCAATTGAAATGGCAGTCATGGAATTGACAATTGCTCCCTCCATCGCTAAAAGTATGTCATGCTAAAGTTCACATATTTAAATACCACAGCTCGCAGTAATATGTATATATCAATATGTAAAAGCTGAATTTAAGTGTGATATAACATACATTTAGAAAGTAGGCAAAACTGCAAAAATATTTATTAAGAAAATTAACAACTGCCATGCTAATCAACCGTGTTATCGATTTTTCACACTTCTGATTATTACAATGGCATCGTCATGTTCACATCTTCCCAGGAGGCATATTAGTACTCTCTCTGGATACCATGATAGAACAATTTTTTCTGTACATTGGTCAAGGTACCGATTCTTTCTATCAGTTATCAAAGTTTTTTTATTTACTTTTAATTTATGCGAGCTTATGTGATTTATGAAATATTTCAGAGAAGGAATAATTTGCAGTGGAGCGGCTGATGATGCTATACGCTTATTTGTTGAGACTGAGAAAGATAACAGTGTGGTATTGGTCAACTCACCCTACAAGCCTTGTCCCCATTAATACTCCGTATTTGATTCGTTACTTAATTTTCATCTCGATCAGGTGGATGGGCCTACATACCGCTTACTTTTGAAGAAGGAAAAGGCCCATGAGATGGATGTGAATTCTGTGCAGTGGAACACTGGGGTAAGTATTTGGATTTAGGGCTCAATAAGTGCTAGTTTTCTGCCTTAAGCATTGTTGTGGGACAAACTACAGTGACATAGCTAACACACCTGAAAAAGCATCAATGAAATGTGTATTATAACACAATGAAATGTTTTTGCAATACAAATTCACACTAAAGATTGGGTTGGTTGTCCACTTTCCCAACCCCTCAAACTTAACACTATGTTTGGTTTAAGGAGTTTGAAAGGGAAAAGAAAAGAAGATGATATGGAAAACAATTTTTCTTGTATGGGTATAGAGGAAAATAAAAGAAAAGTAGAAGGAAGAGAAACTGAGAAAATGAAATAAACTAAGAAGAGGGAAAAGAACTCTCCTTCCATTTTTATGAGGAAATTGAGAAAATCCATTTTCTTATCTTTTCCTTCTGAATTCCACGAACCAAACATAGCATAAGGGTTGAGGTAAATTAAGAAAACTACCTCTTTGATCCATTTCCCCATGTTCTTCCACCACCAACCCCGGAGTACATAACTAGTAGGGCAAAAGGAGAAGTAGACAACAGAATATTAGGTGTAAGAGTCTTACATAAGCAAAGTACGGAGTATTTATTTATTAAGGTATGCTTTTATTTAAAAAAACAAACGTTTAACCCTTAGTTCTTAATGTCCATGAGATGAAGAGCAAAACCATGTCTTTGAATTTGAGCCATACATACTATTTTCATGCTTGAAAGCCTTGCTTGACAAAATTTGGGCTTGAATATGAGACCTTCAAAAACTCAGCATTTGCTTGTCTAAACCTCTGACAGGATAAAAGGATGCTTGCTTCAGGTAGTGATGATGGTACTGTCAAAATATGGGAATTAGCCCTTAAGTGTGGATGAATGATGAAATCAATTTTCATTGTAGCCATTATTTTAGCACTATTTCTAAACTTCTCATACTTATAGTAGATAGAGTATGTGTTTGTGAACTCAATGGTGGTTTTTATAAATTGGCAGTGATGGCTTCTTATAATAGCTTCATACTCCCTTATTAAGTTATCCTTCTTTTCTGCTAGTTTTTTACCAAACACTATTTGATGGGATTTGGATGTCTTGTAACTTTTTGGATGACACCAGACAGCCTCATTATTACTTTGAATAATGTTTAATTCATGTATTGTTAGGATGATGCTAGGAACCCATTATCCATCACAATTGTTTCTAGAGATGATAGTTACAAATGATTTATACATACACAAATAATAAGTTATATGTGATTGTCATTTGTGGAGACACTCGTAGAGGGTTTCTAGTATATTTTGTTATCCGTATTATGGAGTAGAGGGTGCATATGAGAAGCAATAAGGTTACTATAGCACCAAGTTTGACATAAAGGTGATGCCATTAGTTTGTTTTTCGCATAGACGGAAATAATTGGTAAGAAATTAGTGCCAATCTTGATGTCATCTTTGATGTTATTATAGCATGGTCCAATTAGAAGTTATCGCTAAGGGTAAGATATATTATAATGAGGGTGTATCATTATCAATAGAAAGTGTGAAAACATGGGTTCATATAGCTTTCTCCCGCATCGATAAGATGGCAATGAACAATTTTACTCAAGTATATATATACTCCCTCCGTTCTATAAAAGTGTTTCTATTTTGACTTTGTGTAAAAATAAAGAAGTGTTAAATTATAGTTGACTTCCAATTTTGCTCTTAATGTGATGGATAAAAGTAAAATGTGATGAATTGAGTATTAGAGAAAAAGTATGATGTGATAGGTAGGGTATGAAAAAGTAAGGGTGAAAGTAGTTTTTTAATAGAAAGTGGAAGTGTTTTGGTGGAAGTAAAAAAAATGAAAGAGGAAGAGTTTTTGAGAACGGAGGGAGTAGGTTTTAAATACTCAACTTATTTTTATTATATGGAAAAATTACCCAAAATAATCCTAATTTTACCCGGTCTTTCAAAAATAATCCCACATTTCATTGTGATGCACAATAATCCTAACTTTACGGAAATTTGTCGGTTTTGGGTCGCCGTTAAGTTTCTAACGGAGGGTTAACAGAAATGCCCATTTTAGGCAACAAAATGAAAGTTGGGATTATTTTTGATGAATTTTCATTTTTTTTTATTTTTTTTAAATTTTTCATTTAAATTTTTTAAATTACTTTCTACCTCCATCGTCATTTCTTTTTCCTTTTTTAAAGATTAGTCTTAGTTTAAAAAATAAAAATAATAGATATAAAAAATGAAAAAATGAGAACTGTAACTAAAATGATATAATAAAACAAATAAGGTAATCAATGGAAACTAACTTAAAATTGGTAAAAAGTAAAATAAAAATATACGGGTGGGTTTTAATATTTTACGCATTATACAAAGTATTAACATATCACTTCTTATTTTTTAGAAAAAATTATCTAAAATAATTGCAACTTTACCGGACAGCTTGTTCTTTTAAAAACTTATCTAAAATAATCCCTCCGTCCCGCTATATTCGTCCACTTTTGACTTTTGGAACTGTTCATCTAAGCACTTTGACTCATCAAATTCTCTCAATGTGTAAGCCTAAATATAGTCATGTGTGATTTTGTTTGATTTGTCTTAGCATATAGATTATTAATATATAATTTCTATACTTATTTAATATACAAATTACAAGATAAAATGGATTAAAGAAGTGTATTGGATGGCGTGTAAAAATGAAAGTGGACAAATACTCTGGGACGGAAGTAGTACATTAAGACTCCGTATAGTGTGTAAAATGTTAAAACTCACTACTCCGTATATATTTATTTTATTTCTTACCAGTTTCTGTTTAATTTCTATTGATTACATTATTTATTTGATTAATTTTGTATGGTTTTAGTTATTTTTCTCATTTTCATTATTTTTTATATCTAGTTTTTTCTAAGGTAAGAATAATCTTTAAAAAAGAAAAAGAAATTGAGGTTGAAAGTAATTCAAAAATTTTAAATAAAAATTTCAAAAAAAATTAAAAAACAAAAATTCATCAAAAATAATCCCAACTTTCATTTTGTTTCCTAAAACGGGCATTTACGTTAACCCCCGTTAGAAATTTAACGGTGACCCAAAACTGGCAAATTTCAATAAAGTTGAGATTATTATGCATCACAGTGAAAGGTGGGATTATTTTTGAAAGACCGGGTAAAGTTGGGATTATTTTGGGTAATTTTTCCTTATTATATTGCTTATTGTACTAAAATCAGACAATCAAATCAGATTAGATCTTAATAAGATTAGTTTTGATTGAATCAAATCGAATAAAGATAATGGGGGCGGATTTGGGTTGAGCTTTACATCAAGAATTACTAAAAGTAGTGTCCAAATTGGGCCCTCCTAAAAAATGAATGGGTCTCGTATTTTATCCAGGCCCACCTACCAATAATTGTGGCCCAGGCCCGTCTCATGACCGCTCAAAGTATAGCAACATAAATTCAGGTCTGAAGTGGGCTTAGCGCAAAAGTAGACTAGAATAATTTAATCAGATCTCATAATTTTATTCACAAATTCACATGTAGTACGCTCCGTATGATACTCCCTCCCTAGTCTCTCCCCCTTTAAAATAAGTAAACTTCTGTCTTTAATAAACTCAATAAACTCACAAAGTTTAATAAAAATGTTAAAAATTAAAAAAGAAATGAGGTTAACACTTGTTGAGAGGACAGAGAATTTTTTCTAAGCACATAATTTATTCCTTGAAAAGATTATCTTAAGACGTCCAAAAAAAGAAAGAAGGGAAATTATACAAAACTATTGTAAAATTTGCACTAAATAATATTAAAATATATATGTTTCTCAATGTGATACCAAAAACTTGTTATTTTCTAAATAGTGCTTGAGTAATGTGTAGTAGCTAGAACAACGTCCAGTAGCGGTAGGCATTTACTTAGAACAATGTCCAATGGCGTTAGATATTTACTTGAACAATGTCCAGTAGATATTGAACAGTGATATCATATTGAGAAAAATTAAAACATATGGTACTACATTGGGAAACTCATTGTGTTTTAGAGTATTTACAATGATCCCAAATCTGCGCCGACCCAACTCTACCACATCAACACTCCAAACCTTTTGTCCCCCCCAAAATTTTGCAATGATACCGCCCTGAAAATTCGTCTCTCCATTTTTTTAACATTATTCATCATTTTTAATTATAATTTTTTTAAAAAAACAAAATACATATAACTAAAATAAAGATGCTAAGATTGACATTCTTTATTAAAAAAACATCAATATGAAAGATGAAATACACCAAAATATAATTAAAATTAAAAAACAAAAAATAATAAAAAATACAAATTCTTAAAATTAATGCTACAATTAAGTATTGTTGTGCCTCCAGATTTCTTGAATCAAATCATCTTGGAGGTAGCATAGCTTCATTCATCTCGTATACTTGCACGCCGATTTGTAAAATCTTGTAATTCGAGAGGTGGCCTTTGAATTGTTGGGCCTTAAAGAACGGTGGCCCTCGAAGTGGATGCGACCGCGTCATCTACAAACTGAGTGATGTCGGCTCCCTCGTCTTCAACTATCATGTTATGCAGTATAATACATGCAAACATGATGATGTCCGAGGTGAACGATCGGCACTATGAGCATGTTGGGCGTCTCACTATTGCCACCATGTGTGGAGGACTCTGAAGGGACGTTCCACATCTTTTCGTGCGGACTCTTGTTTCTACACAAACAATGCCCTCTATGGATTTGTCAGACACGTGATTGTTTCACAAACACTGGCCAACGTGGATAGATCCCATCCGCCAAATAAATCACATGTTTTATTGGCAACCATTGGCAGTGAATTGCAACACTGACGAACCAGCGCAAGCATTGTTGAATAAAAGAGACTCATTCAACACATTTAGATTAATATTCAATCCAACGACTCCAGAGTACGCATGCCAAATCAAGACATATGATGGTCGGCAACTACCTCGAGCATAATTGTCGGGTGTGAGCCCTTGTAATCGCTTGTGAGTGCACCCCTGCACACCACGGGACAATTTTTCCACTCCCAATGCATACAGTCCATGCTACCAATCATCCCTGGAAACCCGTGAACTTCCTTGTGCATATTGACTAACATTTAAACGTTTTAGATTGTCGGCTTTCGCAAGTAAGTATCCTTGAAAGCTTCATTGACACCTGGGGAAAAACGTTGCAAGCATTCTCGGCTAGTAGAGTTACCCATGTCGAGATACTCGTCGAACATGTTAGCACAAGCATCGTATGCGAGCTGCCTAATCGCGATTGTGCAATTTTGTAGAGTGGATAGGCCAGCCAGCCAGAGCCGTCTAGACGCTGTTAGAAATAGACAGCACAAGCTTCAAGTGCATCCACGATCCAAACGAATAATACACGATGCATTTGGAAACACCGATAGAACTATTCATCAGAAATGCGAAACGTCTGAAAATAATCTTCAAAAACGGGACGACCATCTCACGTTCCCGGGGAATGTACACACACATATGTGTAACGGGAGGAGTAGCGGCCCACCTAAGCCTGTCAAGAAATTTCATGTTATATCTCTGCTTTGACGTAAGACAAATACTAATGGTACACTGCAATTAACATATCCAAGACCTCATCATATGTTGGATGACGATCTATTTCTTTTATTTGAGAGAGATGAAGAGAAATTGAGAAAATAGTAAATGTACAGAGATGAGATTCGATGTATTGAAATGGAATATATGTTGAATTTATAAGGTTGAAAGAAAAAAATGAAAAAAATATTTCCCAACGGCAAACCGCGTGCAGTGGGCAGCCACTGTGAATTTCAGCAACAAATCGAGCACGGCTTTGCACCGCGGTTGGGGCGAGGAATGTAAGTTCGTGGGGGCGCAGCGGAAATCACCAATTAAGAACTATGCAAACAAATCAACCAACTATGCTGTAGAGAAGATGCTGCAGCACTGTCACAGTAACAGATGACGGACAGTGTGTTATAACACTTCTCTATCACAAGCACGCACACAGAAGCAGATGATGCAGAGGATGTTACAGTGCCTAGGCCGCCGCCTACTGGGCAGAATGCTGTAACTCTAAAATGTGTAAAAAATAACACCAGATATGTTTATGCAGTTCGGAGCAAATTCTCCTAATCTGCGGGGACCACGTCCGTGTAATAGCCCTCCACTAAATCACTAGATGCAAGTTACACCGGTACATAGCAACATGATGAGACACTCTTCTCTGAATTGTTATGACAAAACTTCTAATATAGGATTTCTAACCCAAACTCTATTCAGATCTGCTTCGGCTATGACATCTCCACCGAGATCACGAGGACAAACGTGTTGACAGCCCACTCGTTCAGCTCTATTTCATCTTCTGGATATCACGATCAGTTTGGCGTTGAAAATCTCCTCCTTCTTGTAGATCGCAACCTTCTTCACGCATGGGAAGCTCCGGGACGCGACGGGAATGCTCTACATCAGCGTATATTCTTTGTTTTCCCTCTCAATCGCTCCGAGTAATTCCCAGGGACCTGCTGCGTTTTTATAGGCTTCTCTAAACACAATCCTAGTAGGAATAGGTTAGTAGAAGTTGGCTTGAACTCAACTTCCTTAATCTTGATCCACAAGTAGCCTAAAGTGTTGGGATTCCTTAGCATGTACAGCTGGAGTTATTATCATGTAATCACAATCCCAATAGGTCTCTAATTCAGATTGCAGCTTAAAATCTCGTGCTCAAACCTCTGATCCCGAACAGTGTGTTGCAGCATCTTGTTGTAGCATCTTCTGTGTCAACCTCGAAAACTGCAGCAGCTCTAGAAGTCTAAATAAAATAAACCTCTCCTAACAAATAGAGGTTTCTAACTAGTAAAACTCCTAACAAATATGAGATTCTATTTTGCCAAAAGATTAGCCAATACCATGGAACTAACAAGGAGCACGGTGGAGATCTTGCAGTGCGGTAGATTCCTCATGGTTGTTAATGCCCTTAGTACTATATAAGTAAACTCTCCTTAATGATAACATCATTTACCTTTTATGTTTTTTAAACTTAATTTTTAGTATTAAGAAATTATTAATAATACTAACTTCAAATGGACACAATATTCCCAAACATAGTTTTGTCATAGGGCATTGTCAAGTGTTATCTATATCTATACTTTATTTAAAAAGAGGTGAATTCTTTGACCGGTTTTCCCGCCCATGGATGTGTTGACTTTTTATTATATATGGAGAGGTTTAGATATATTTTAGGGAAGAATATAGTGTTTTATATGGAATTTAATAAATAAATATAAACATAAATATTATTATTAATCACGGTCAAATTTCTAGGGGTGGTCTAGATTTGTTTTTGGAATTTTTTTAATATGGGCTTTAATAAATAAATATAAATATTTTCTATATATTAATCATTTTCAAAGTTTCTAGGGGTTGGTCTAGATTTATTCCATGAATTTTTTATATATGGACATTAATAAAGATGTGTTAAAACTTATATATATATATATATATATATATATATATATATATATATATATATATATATATATATATATATATATATGGAGAAGTCTAGACATATTTTAGGAGAATTTGTTATATGTGGACTTTATAATTTAATTAATAAATAAATATAAATGATGGCTATAAACCACCGAGAGTATGAAATAATATAAGTTTTAGAGAGAGAGAGAGAGAGAATGCAAAGTAGGAGTATATTGATTCCGAATTTGGATCCATTACAATGAGGGATGCCACCCCTTTTATAGGGGGTACAATACACTAAGTCAAAGCCCTCTGATCGAGGCTCGTCGTTTAGCGGACGTCACATGTCCTTAGGTCTTGTCCCTTTCATCCTATCGCTTTCATCAAGTCTTCGTTGAACGTCGCTTTCCTCACGTCGTTGTCGCGGGGTTCGGGCTCGGCTTGGTTGGCCGAGCCGAGCAGGAGGGACGAGCGGAGCGCAGGGCCGGGGAGGAAGACGAGCGGAGCTCTTAGCCGGGCAGGAAGACGAGCGGAGCTCTGGACCGGGCAGGAATGTCCAAGCCCGATACTTTTCGGGTGCTTTTCCTGCCCAATACTTAAACAAATTTGCCGTTGATGAAGGTGGCCATGCGCATGAAGTGGTATGTGGCGGAGAAGGCCAAGGGCGAAGAGGAGCTTCGGAGGCTGCAGGAGCCTGCGGCCGACTTCGAGGGGAAGCTCGCTGAGGCGGAGGAGCGTGCTTGGGCTTCGGAGGAGTGGGCTCGGGCTGCAGAGCAGGCTCGCATCGCCGCTGAGGAGAAGGCGCGTAGCCTTGATGAGGAGGCCGAGCACGTGATCAAGGCCTTTCAGACTTCCCTTGCGTTCGAGGAGGCGGCTCTCTCCCGCATGAATTGAAGGTCTGGGCTCAAACACCCTACGGCCAGCGTCTCCTTCTCAAAGAGGGGCAAGCCAATTACTCCATGGATTTGCACAGGGCTCAAGAAGTCTTGCTAGAGCGGATCAGAGATGGGAAGGAACTCCCGAAGCCGTGCGAGAACCCTGAGGAGTTAGATTTATCTTAGAAAAATTTGTTATATATAAACTTTTTATTATATAATGAGCTTATTATGGGGGTGTTTCGTTGTGCAGGTGTTTATTGGCTTTTTTCTCAAACTTTTACCTCCACTGTCTTTTTTTTCAAAAATGACATCCATATCTCACTTTGAGGCGTTTTTCTTTAGTATATATTTTTATAAATAGTATAGTAAATAGCCTTGCAATAGGGTTTATTTTTGGAAAATATTCAGAAATAGATATTCAACATAGTTAATTTTAATATAAATGTAAATAAATCAACGAGTAAAAAATAAGTCAACGAGTAAAAAATAAATCAACGAGTAAAAAATAATTATTAGTATAAAAATATCATCTAAAAATGGCAAGAAGTAAATATTCAACATAGTATATTTTAGTATAAATGGAAATAAATCAACGGATGAAATATATATTTTATTATAAAAACACTCATCTAAAAATGGCAAGAAATAAATATTCAACATATTATATTTTAGTACATATTTTAAAATGAAAATAAATCAATTGATGAAATAAACTAGAATGAAAAATTAAAAAAATAGTTATCTATAAATGGTAAGAATTCAAATCGTCTTGAATAACGATTGTTTTGTAAGGATAAACAAAATAAGATTTAATAATGGGCAATATCTCATCCATTTAAAAATTTAAACTCATTCAAAAGATGTTTAATAAGTAAAAAATAAGTTTCACATTTATTATGAGATTGTAAAATAAATGTAATTTTTATCAATATTAGTATTACATATTCCACTGTGATAGAGATAAAATTTTCATATTCAATCCTTTACTGAACTTTATATTCTATTATACTCCGTAATATAAATGGAGTCATGCAACGCACGAGTGTGATACTAGTATAACAAACAGGAGCATATTTTCGCATGATTATTTATTTATGCTTAATGGTACAAGTATTGGTATTAGATGGCCATATATATACTCTATTTTAAAGGAATGAATCCATAGTTGGTGAATACGGAATACCTGGCAATAAGCCATTCGGTTTAGTTTCTTACCGTTTGGATTTATTTCGGATATACTTTGTATGGTATATTCAGTTTAGTCGTCCAATACTCCAATCTCTACATTTTTGGATCAATCTAGTTGTATTTGGTACGTAACAATGGGAGTACATTTCTTACTTAATTTAAGTTAAATATTAAAAAACAATTGACGGAAAAAAGTTAAAACTGAATAAATACTTAAAGACGAAGGTAGTAATATTATTAAAGATAGGATCATGTTAGGATCCCCAAATGGTTGCTATCATGGTGCATCCAAGTTTCGCACAGATAACACAGATGATAATCATCACACAGATAACCTGTTTTTGACCCAAAACCCGACCTGAAAACACTGAGTTTTGAACAAAGGTTTTGATGACCGAACCCGAAGTTGACCGAACCCGAAATGACCCGCTAAAAATGGGTCAAACCTGACTAAACTCGAACCCGACCTGACCGACCCGCTAAAGTAAGAGTTCTTCAAAATCATATACTATACTACTCGCTTTTAATGTATAAATTTATATTTTAAGACAAAATTTTAATAATATTGCATAATTATCTTACTTTTTTCTAAAACTTAAGCATTTTTTAAATTTTTTATATTGATTCGTATATCTAAAAATATTTTCATGATTTAAAATAGAATAATCTAATTTATTTAATGCATATTTTTTTATATTTTAAATTTATTTAAAAGTCAAAGTCATAAACCCGTGGGGTCGACCTGAACCCGATGACACTAGATTATGAACATACTATTCTCAACTCGAACCCGAATTGATCCGAACCTGAAATAAACAGAACTCGAAGTGACCGAACCCAAACCGACCTGACCGACTCTAAAGATAACGTTGAAAGTTGTGACAAAGAGAGCTGGATTTAATTTAGTTACAGACAGACTTGAATTTAAAGTATTCTGGAAACAAAGAACTAAATTCAAGAAGAGTGGAATAACCAAAAGAAAGAAAGAATATATAATGTAGTACTTCGTAAACAAACTAAGGAGTGCTGTCTATTATTGATCTTTATCTGGTGGCGGCGGAAGCGGGACGGCGAGGCTGCTGCGGCGGCGTTGTTCTGCCGGCGGCTTCCACCAGAGCGGAACGAGCCAAGATAATGCTGGCGTTCATCCAAGAAGCATCAAAAGCGCAGCTGGAGTCCACCCAATCCTTGAGAAGCTCCTCCTGGCCCCACATCTCCGGGACCCACACCCGCCCCGCCACCTCCCGCCGGTGCCTCTTCAGCCGCTCCCTCGCCGGGATGTCGCCGTCCCCCTCCTCCTCCACCGCCCCCGCCGGCCGTTCTCTCGCCTCGCCGCCTTCCTCTCCGCTATAAATAGTAACATATCTGTTGATGGGTTCTTTTTTATTATCATCGTCCCCGCCGTGAAGATTTTTGTGGTTCATGGATGAGTTAATCATGCAGGTAGCTAAGATATTAAGTTGTGGGGAAGTAATAATTATAATTATAATTATTAATAAGAACAATGCAAGTAAGGGAGTTAATGAGAAAAGGTGATATATAAGGAGTACGTACATATATAATGACAGAACTGTAATGTGTGTGTTTCGTATGGCCACTGCAAGTTGTACGTGTCTTCTTTTGTAAGGTTTGATCATACCCAATTGTATTGTGTGGTTTATATCTGATCTCTACCTAAAGCCAACAGGATTTTCCCTCTCACTTCCGCTGGTTTCGAGAGATACATCTTACATTAGGATAGTACCAAATTACAAAACAAATATTTGGGCTAAATAACACTAAAACTTAAGTCATTTCCCTAAATATTACTTCCTCCGTCCCAGAAAATCTTTCTCCTTTCTTTTTTCATCCGTCCCAAAAAACAATTCTCATTTCTATTAAAAAGTCACTTTTACTCATTACTTTTTCATGCCCTACCTATCACATCATACCTTTTTACTAATAATCTATCCATCAAATCATACTTTTACCCATCACATCAAAGGACATTTTTGAAAATTCAATACCAAAATACACTCTCCTTAAATCCCTCCCCAAAACCAAAACTCCCATGTTTTCTGGGACGGAGGGAGTATTTAAATTGTTTTATTTTCTAAATAGAACTTAATAATATTTAGAATGAGGAATAATATCTAGTGATGACGAACATTTACTTGAATAATGACTAATAAGATAATGACTAAAAGTGCTACGTTAGGAAAAAACACATATGATGCTATTTGGGGAAAGTCATTATGTTTTAGTACTATTTAAGTAAATTCCCCATTACAAAAACACCGGGAATCCATTTCGGGTACTTCCAGCATGACGTATAATCTCAGATAATCTATACATACACAAATGATTTTTATATGCACAGACGATGATAATATTTTATGAACACAAGTAATTATCGTTTCTGTATATATAAAATCACATGAACATCCGTAGGTACAACCGTGGCGGGGTCCTAGTAGGACTAGATTGGGAAAACCAGAAACTACAAACCGAATCAAAATCGGTCAAAATGAATTACCAAAAAAATGAACGGAATAAATCAAACTTTTCTATGTACTTCATCATCATCATTACACACACACACACACACACATGTGTGTGTGTGTGTGTATACCTGTGTGTGTGTGTGTGTACGAGTATATGTGATATCGAAAAAAATAATACTCCCTCCGTCCTGAAATGTTCTTCCCACTTACTATTCACACGGTCAAACTTTAATCACTTTCTTTACCTATTTTCATTAGGTATTTGATAAAATAATATAGTCTTGTCACCACTTGTTTTGTAGAACTTTTGATATAGTTTTTAAATATATAACTTTTATTTTTTAATTTTACACCTACAATCAAATCAATTGAATTAAAAATAAAGTCGGTCAAACTTCGTAAACAGAATCGGGAAGAACATTATAGGACGGAGGGAGTATGAATATAAATAAATAACTAATCAGTCAATTGAAATTATTCTGGATTAACTACTAAACATTTTAAACCAATAACTAACCCTAATACAAAGTTATATGAACAGTTAAAATTGATATGCGTAATTTGAATATTTACATGAAAAGCTTTGATGTTATAATGGAAATAAAAGTATTATACAAAAAAATGCAAATACTTCGTAATTGATATTTACATACGAAGGCTTTGAGAATATTTGGAATCTTTTAGATTTTTGTTGGACGTTTGATACATATCTTTTACGTAAAATTGAGAGGAACAAAATTTTAACCTTTCGTTCAATTTACACGTTCGGTAAGAACTAAACTCAGCCTTACATATTGTTATTACTTCCTCGAGTTAGTGTTGTTACAATTTTTTTAATACTTGATGGAGGAAATATGAGCCAAGATATGAAGGCCCATATATACTTGTTGGGCTAGGCCTACACAATAATAAAGCACATCGCAGGATGGTAACTAAGGCGCATGCATGACCTTAGCAGCTTGTCATACTCAGCCACCACATGCACCCTATGTAAATCAGAGGCCACGCCACCTGTCTCGAGGTCAACTCCTATGGAATCATATATGGAGCTTTGCATTCAACAAATGAGCATCATGAGAGAGTAGCACATCATAGCTATAGTCAATGAGATAAGCCTCATTAGAGAGCATGTATCATAGAGGTAAGGGAAAATGTATTAGTTTATGAAGCCCAAAGAACACTTTTGCAGTTTGGCACTTTTGCATTTTGGTAGTATACCTTGGATGTATCGTAGAGGTAAGGATAAATTGTTGGAATTTTTGGCATTTTTAATAGGCATTAAATGAACCAACTTGGATATATTTGTCAATAGGTCCACTAACGGTTTTTAACCGTTAATTAATGGACGTGTGTTCTCTTAAATGAGATAAATGTTTTGATAATTTATACGCCAAAAATGGTGGAGGGTGAATGAGAAATTGATTCTCAGAGTTAACCCGTTAATAGAAGAATATGGTAAGGATTGCAAATTTTTTTTTTTGCAATTTTATGTAACCAATCTTCTATTATTTATTTTACGTATTGTTTAAAATTAGTCCATTTTTACGAAGTTAACTGGCCATTAATCTCCAATTATTCGGGACAAATTTTGAACGGAGCGTAGCGTAACGGACGTGTTAATGGTTAATTAATCACCATTAACATATATGTCATTATTGTGCCACAAATGTCATGGATTAATGGTGTAGGAGTTACATTTTTTCAAATTCCCTTGTTATAAAAACAAATCAATGGAGGCTCTCCATGATGGGAGGTTTTCATACGTGAGGAAGAGGAAAAAGAAAGGGAAATACTTTCTTATTTTTTTTAGAGAGAGCTCTTGATATTCCGGCCGAATTTCCGGCAATCCCCTTCAAAGTTTTTTTTGGCCGCCAACGTTCCTACGTCGTTCTTGTTCGTTGGTGTGTGGTTGGTCCGTACAATCTCCACACACGATAGCGGTTTTATCCTGGGAGGAGAGTGCCCACGTTTTTCCGGTACGGTAGGCGGGCACTACTACCTTAAAGACAGCTCCGGCAACTCCGCTGTCCTTCCACGGTGTTTCTTTTTGCAGGTTTAGTGCTTAAAGACCTCGTTGTCCAGTGCATAACGTCCTCGCTGTCCAGTGCTTAATGTCCTCGCTGTCTAGTGCTTAATGTCCTCGTACAACAAGGCCGTTTGAAGATATGGAAATTTATTTTCCAACTTTGTTTTTTTTGTAATATTCTGAATAAATTATAAATTCGGAATTTTATTTTTTTATTTCCGGGGCCGTTCATCTTCCCCGTCCGTTGTAATCCGTACAAAAATTGTAACACAAATATAGTTATAAATGAGTAATGAAAATAAGCAAAGATAGTGAATACACTTTGGTAGTATAAATAGTGAGCAGCCCAAAGAGCACTTTCGGATCGAGAGAGTATACTCTTTTCGTCCTAAAGGATTGTTACTCTTTGTTGTTCTAAAATTACGGTAATTTTTGTTTATTTATGCGTTTTCATTTATTATTTGATAAAATAAAATATTCTTGTCACATTTTTTTATAGAACTTTTGATTTAATTTTTAAATATACAAAATTATATTTTTTTTTATTTTTGTACTAATTTTTAAATAAAATCAATCAAAAAACCTTAGTATTTTTTTCATTTGGTGCAAAATGAAAATCTTTTAAGGATAGAATATAGGACAAATATATTTGGGATAAAAACAAAACAAAGTGGTACATATTGGGTAAAAATGAAGGGAAACCATACCGGCCAAGAGAGATATGACATGTAGCCACCAATGAGGATTGAAGTTTGATTATTGCCTTGCTGGTGATGTTAAACCCCACATGTATGGATCGGAGGCGATTCTTGGCCATAGCGTCTCCTACGATACTCTACCAATTAATTGTTCATTCCCATGAGAAGGATTCTAATTGGTCAGCTCCATCGGCGACAAAAATATTTTATATTATCAAATAATTAATGAAATAATACAAACGAATAAAAGTTATCGAGATACCCTAATAATAAACATGCATCTCTTTTAGGGACGGAAAGTGTAAGTGTTTGGCAAATGAGCAAGGTTAGGGTCCCCCAAGTTGTACCTACCATTTTCTTAATCACAAAATATTTATTCACACTTTTATTTCTTAATTCACATCAAAAGTCATGTGATACTTCAAGCATTTTTTTGGCAAATATCTTATATGTGCGTGAGATAATTGTTTCAAAATAAAGTCTCATTTTCTACTCTATTAAAAAAATATGAGGGAGTGTGAGAACCTCCTACACCATCTCACCCACAAAGTTAGACAACCTCCTACATGTACAAATGTAGTATTCCCCTCATTTTAAAATAGAAATATGCAAGAGTGCCTCCAAATGCAGTTGTTTACCGCAGTGCACTCATGATTCGCACAGATAGTTAGCATCTATGTTGCACATATGATTATCATCTGTGTCATCTGTGCGAAACATAATGCACCCTTGATAGCAACCATTTGGGGCATCCTAGCATGACCCTTTAAAATTTTTGTTCAGTTTAATTCATTTTTTAAAATCAAATTGCACGATTAATAATAAAATCATTTTTTAAACATAACAAAAGCATGTTAGTTTGATTAAATATTTTTTTATAGTTCTCTTTTTCTCTCCTTAGAAGGAATTGTATGATAATAACTACTACTCTTTATTACAACAATTCTTGTTCTTGATATTGTTGTTGTTATTATTATTATTAAGGTTAGGCGAGAATGATATTGGCCTACTTGGAACACTTACGGTGTTGCGATCATAAAATTGATTGTTTTAACCTACCTAATCTCCTCGCTAGGTCCCCTAGCCTGACCCGTCTCTAATGTATCCTCGCATTCTCTTCATTATACTCCTTTTTTTTTTTATTTTGGTGTCAGAATTTTGAACCCAAAATCAACAAATTTTGAGGGATGCAATTTGAGAGTGTGCGATGGTGCATTAGGGATGGGCTAAGTTAGGGGTTTACCAAGGAATTAGGATCGTAGAACTCATTAATATTACGAATGGAATACTGCATAGTG